AAGTCAAGATGTGTATCATCGGAAAAGGCAAAACAACAACACAGAATCGTCGTACATCTTTACTGAAACAAGGTAAAAAATCATCATCATCATATTGTCCGGTTTTCGAAAAAATCCGGTTTTACAGGGAGCTTTCCAGTTTTTTCCACTTCCAAAACACCTTAGCTAAAAAGTGATGTCATATTCGGAATCAGCGTCGAAAACTGCATCTACTGATGTGCCTTGTAGTAACTTTTAAGGAAAATGAATTTTTGATAAAATTTCATATCAATGTAAAAAAGCCACTTTCGCTTTTTTCGGTCCGCAATGACCTAAAACTACGAAAAGAACACGCCAGCTATGATCTACCCGGCCTGCAATGACACTAAAACTCAGATATGAAAACGCCATTACCATCGCCTTGTGGAGTTAAATAATTCACATATTTTTTGAAACTGTACATATTTTGGCTAATAGGTATTTGGTTTTCTTTCGGATCTGTAAACTTTTGACTGTACTGGGCTCTCGTATTGCGCGAAACGATTTACTGAGCAGCGCATGTTGGCGAGGAAGTCAAAGTAGTCCACATTTAGTGGTCCCACGCATTACGGGATAATAACGAGTCAATTAGGAGGTGGTCTGTATCAGGATAGCTGGAGGTTTCCCTTCGGTCTGATGCAGGTTATGTCTGCGGGTTATTGTAATTTCCTATGCGAGGGCGGCATAAGAATCCATAGCGCAGTAGAGCGGTCTCCGCAAGCTACCACAACTAACGTGATTGTTAACTCTAACGTTAGGGAGTTTGCGGTTAGGTGTACTAACTTGGAAGTCTGGACTGTAGCAATGGAATACACTTGCGACAGGTTTTTGCATGAATTCAATGGAAAAGTTATTTGAAGGAGCAAAGTCCCAGAGCAAATCTCTCCAACTGCTAAATCGACTATAGCAGTGAACCGTTGGAGTAGAAGTTTTCGGCCAAGCGTAGTACAAAGATTGACAAACATAAAGACTTAGAAACATCTCCTTGAACGAGTAAAGCTATATGTTGTTATAGCACTTGGAGAGATTTACTCCTCAGTGACTTGATCAGTAATAACCGAAAAAACAACGGTCAAGCGGTGGTAGTGGGCACTCAGAGGAACGGCGCTAACTTTTTCCATAAACATCTATAAGACCAGTTGGTGTGTGGAAGATTTTATACATTTTTTACCTAAACAAAAAGTTTTTCTGGAAGACCAGATCTCTAGAAGACCGATTTCGATAAGTTTTTGCTTAAAAATCTAATAAGGCTTTCTAGAAAACTACTTTACAGAAACTCAATCGGTCCAAGAAGTAATCTGTAGAAAAGATCACATGCGAAAACCTATAAACATTGAATTTTGAGTTGATCGGATCGATTTAAAACCAAATATTCGCTTACCTATCAAAAATTGCCCCCTGTGCTGTATAGTGAAAAGCGCAAATGCTTCTCAGCTGCAGGTATTACAGGTATTAGCACAACACTTGGCTTAGTTATCTAATTGGGTGAATAGTAAACTGATATCTAGAAACTTGCATTATCGTATCTTTTAAAAATGGATTGTTTCATACAATATGACATAATGCTTTTATTGTTACATGCTCAGAGACACATGATATTCGTAATTACCTAATTTTAGAGAAAACTGCCGCTAATGGTTGAATCAACGTTATTGTCGATTGTTTTGTTGGATTCTGATATTATACAATCCGATGACTGTCGAGATGCATTAACACATTTAAATTCATGTATTAGTTGTGTAAATACATTTGTTAATGTAGATCAATGCATTGATTACATAAAAAGCCGATCAATAAGTGAAAAAGTTCATTTTATTATTTCTGGTTCATATGCTGAAAATATTATTAATTTATCCATATTCAATATACCACAAATTCACACTGTTTATATTCATTGTAAAAATACGGCTAAGTATCAATATTTACTTGAATTATGTCCGAACCTTGATGGTATATATGATAATAAAAGTTACCTTCTTACATCCTTAATTAGAAGTATGAATGATCGAGAACCTCATTCAACATTTATAAAGATAATTAATCCAGATTTTTATCAACAAAACAATATAAGAAATTTGAACAAAGATACTGAAACATTTGTATGGTTTCAATTACTGATTCATCTGCTTCTTCGGACTGAGCAAACTCAAGAATCCAAAATGGAAATGCTAAATTTTTGCCGACAATATTACAAAGTAATTCTCTAGTCTGCGGTAAACGAATTTTCTGAAACATGCAAACATTTTTCGATAAGAGGTAATTATCTCTTATCGAAAAATATGAAACCCTTTCAAATTCTTACTATATCACCTTTTCCGACTGAAGCCTTAAAATCACTCTGATCACTCTGAACTCTGATCATTCTTTGAGATCAAGAAACCTGACAGATCTTGTACAGATATAAACCTTCTACAGGTCATGGGATTACCCTTTAGCCACATATGTCAGCTTCAATTTAAGACCTTCCCGAGCGATGTTTCATTACCGAGAAACCTTGTAGGTATGTGTTAAGGTGAAAGTCGCTTTCGAGGTAGGGTGGCTCTAGCATCTAATGCAAGTTTTAGGGCTTCCTGCAAAACTCTCACACCTCTTCATTAGAACATCATTCACATTCAGAGGTGGGAGATGGCTTATTTTGATTAGAAATGTTTTCTCTATTTTTTGGTATAACCGAAAGTATTTTTGGATTTGTTCTTGGGCCTTAACGATTCCACTAAAATTTCTTATTTAAGGGTCTGAAATGTCTCTCTAGCGAATGTCGATCGCTAAAAGCTTTAAAAGTCTTGATTCTTTCTACTAAAATTTCTGCACCTTAAATGCTTTTTCTGCAATTTTTATTTTCGGCGAAATAAAGAGCCCGATATTTGAACCAGTAAAATTCAAACATAAAATAATCCGTGTTACAGTTTACACTGATTTGCAGGACTTTCCTGTTAACTTTTATCATGAAACCACCATAATCGTAGATTAATCGTAATAAAAAATAAATCATAATCATGTACTTGTAGTTACAATAATCCAAGGGGGAAACAACTGACTCCATTTGACTCCAGTCGTATAGAGTCATCAGGAGTCAAGTGAAGCCCAGAGTCTGCTGTTTGATCCTTGCCCATCCACCTAAGGGGGAAACAATGGGACCCAGTCGTGTGGAGTCAGATGGAGTCTGCTATTTACCCCTTGTGCACCCACCACTAGGACTGTTACAGTTCCAATTCTAGAGAACTCGTGAAAGGTTCTCTAGACCCGGAACTGTCACACTGCTGGCAAATAATGAAGTGATTACTCATAACTACTCATGTTTAAGGGTTTTGGCTTAGCATTAGCATTGAATTAGTATTAGCATAATGCCAATGTTTATGGTTCCTAATAACAGAGAAATTGCGTTCTGTTGTGGGAATTTAATCCTGGTAACAGAACAAAACTGTTCCGTTTTGGGAACCATAAGTACTCATCAATGAGTATTTTTGAGTAATAATGAGCAATGGATGAATTGATTGATTCTATGATTCGACCACTTCTTAAAAACTGATACGAATTGTTATACGCCTACATGTGCCTCCACAATTCTATTACATTTTGGAGTCATGTGGAGTCAATTGATGCAGTAGAGTCTGGAGTCAGTTGTTTCTCCCTTGCAATAATCACTATTTATACAAAATCGGCTTTTTTCGTAGCAAAAAAGTCTTATGTAATTTCATGTAAGGCACTCGCGTGTATTTTGTCATTTACACTTTTAGAAAATCTAAAAAGCATGAATTACAACTTTTTTTTGTAGAATTCTGAACCCGATGAAAGAAACAACAAGAACCTTAAGCAAATAGACGAGTTTGAACAATCATATTTACCATCAATGGCAATAGACTGGTATACCAAAAATACCTTTTTATATCGTATTTTAAATCAAATGTTTCGTCAAGAAAATGTCATAGGCATGTTTCAATTACGATATTTCATCAAAGATTTATATTTGCAATTAAAAGATTTACATACAAATTATATAAATTCATTATTACCTGAAAATAAATCCTTAACTACCTATCGTGAACAATTCATAACAATTAATCAACTAGAACAATTAAAAGAGAATATAAATGGATTAATCTACATGAATACATTTTTATCTACAACAACTGATAGAGATGTTGGATTGATCTATGCTGGTGCTGATGGCAATAAACATCCTTACCTTGTATCTGTAATATTCAAAATTGAGATTGATACAAGTATCATATCAAAACCATTTGCGAATATTAATGAATTCAGTTATTACAAAGATGAGAATGAAGTATTATTTGCATTAGGCTCAGTATTTAAAATTAAATCAGTAGAAAAACAAGGAAATAATAATCTATGGATGGTGAGACTTTTGTTTAATAACGATGTATATGAAACAATAAGAAAATTAACAAGACATTTAACAGTAAATATGCGTGAACCAATGAATATAGCGAATCCATCTGTGGCTAATCAAACAACATTTACTGATTTGACACATAAATCAACAACTTTTATGTGGAATCTACTACTTCTAGGCATTATATTACGTATGGAAAATACATTAGCTGCAAAAAGTGATATGATCAGATGGTGTCGTCATTATTACAAAGACGAAGAAGAATTGAAATATATTGATGATTTTGAGAAAAATTATGAAGCAAATAAAGACGAAGCTGTCTGGTGGTATACAGAAGAACCATTCATTTATAGACTAGTTAATCTATGTTTAAGATCACAAGATATTGATAATATTTATAAAATGCGATATTTCATTATTGATCTTCATAATCAGATACAAAAATTGTATACTCATGTTAATCAGCATGAACAACTATTCACCGTTTATCGTGGTCAGAGTATGTCTGAAGACGAATTACAGAATTTAAAAGATCATTCTAATGGTGGTTTAATTTCGTTTCATCAATTTCTGTCATGTACTAGAAATCGGAATACAGCATTAGTATATGCTTTAAATCGTTTTGCACATCTGTCTAATGAATCCGTACTATTCGAAATTATTATAGATACAAACATCAAAACAAAACCATTTCTTAATATTGAACGATATAGTTATTATAAAACAGAAAATGAAATACTTTTTACTGTAGGTACGATATTTGAAATTATGTCCGTTGAACAACAAGCTACTAGTGGACTTTGGATTATTAAACTACTTTTAAGTGAAAAGGTAGATAAAGATATGGAACAATTAACTATGTATTTTAGAAATGAAATTGGTAAAAATCCGACACTTATTACACTGGCTGATTATCTCACTCAGATGGGTAATTATGATGCAGCTAAAACGTATTTCGATATTCTCATCGATACAATGTCATCATTAGAACATGAATCCAACGATGCAGAAATCTATACTAAAGCTGGTCAGCTATACTATCTAACGGGTGATTATGAAAAATCTTTAAAATATCACTTGAAAGCTTCGAGTATAATTACTGTCTGCAATTTGGATTTAGCGCTAGTAGAAAAGAATATAGGCAAAGTATATAAAGCAATAGGAAAGTATGATTCCGCTTTGATGCATTATGAAAGAGCATTAGATATAGAACAACAACTATTATCAGATAATCATCCAGACATAGCTGAAACTTACAAGAACATTGGTGAGATATACAATCAGCAAGGAGATCATGCTCATGCATTAGGGTATTATGAGAGAGCTCAACAGATCGTATTAAAATTGCTACCACCAAATCACCCAGGTTTCTCTACAACATATAACAATATTGATGAAGTTTATTATAACAGAAATGACGATACACAGGTCATGAACTATCATGAGAAAGCTCTTCAAATAAGACTGAGTTCATTGCCTCCTGATCACCCTTCTATAGTAGAAGACTATCTGTATATTGGAAAAGTTTGTTATGGTGCAAAAGAGTTTGATAAATGTTTGAAATACTATAAAAAATCTCTAGAAATACGTTTGATGAGTCTTTCTTCGAATCATCCATCAACAGCATCAGTCTATAACAGTATCGGTAAAGTTTATTATGAAAAAGGAAATTATATTGAGTCGTTGTCTAATTATAAACAAGCAATTAAAATTCAATCAAAATCATTACCGATAAATCACCCGGACTTAATTGACACTTATCAAAATATTAAAAAACTTTTACGTCAAGGCGTATTATTATCATATAATTATTGTATTGAAGAACTAATTAACATACTACATGATATTATCGTAACGAATATTAATATTAAAGATCAACACAATATACTAGAATCAAAATATAAACAAATAATTGATATTGGGACAAAACTCTTAAACTCAAGTAGTGATGATCAATCCTTATTAGATATATGTAAATTAAATGGTAATATATTACAAAAGAACAAAAAATAATTAATCAAAAGTATTCAACAAAGTTAAAATTGTATAACAATGATAATCAATGGAATTAACATTTGGAATTCAACTGCAGAGTTAAATCTATCGAATTAAAACTACTTGATCAGTGACTCTTGACATGAAATGAAACCAAAATCGAACCAAGTTAAAGTAGTTTCATTAGTTATTTACAAGAGTTTCTTGATTCCCATATCTAAAGAACATTTACAACAACTCATACTTTATCGGCACGATAAAGTAAACAAAAGTAGTCTTGAACAAATCAAAGAAAAACAACGATTAATTACAATGAATGGTTTTATATCCACAACAACAGATAGGGAAATATCAGCAGG